CACACACACACACACACACACACACACACACACACACACACACCGTGTAGCAACAATCAGTAATGTTGCATAATTTTTTCTTAAACACAACTTGCTCACCAATACTGACCTTCTTCTGCAATGCATTCCTATAGGAGGATGCTGGGTCTATTTAGCAGCAGGAGAGAACAGCAAGTAGATTTCAAATATTTTGGACTCTTAGCTCCCAGCATTCCTGGCTGTTGGCCATGCTGGCAAAGGCTTCTGGGAATCAAAGTCCTAACCTTCTGGAGATCTATCTTCTGTCCACCCCTGCTTTACAGCACAATCTCAGCTCACATGAAGTGTAACTCTAATCTTGAAAAAGAAAAAAGAAGTGACAAAGCCACAATACTGCCTATTTATTGTGTTCTTTGAATGCCCAACGTTTCAGAGAGAAGCCTCCTCCTTCCAACTCTGCCTGCAATTTCTCAAAATAAACAAGTTTAAAATTCTTACATAAACATCATGCAGCATATAACACAACAAAACCATGAAATGTTAAGCAGAATCAAGTGAAGCAGGTAAGAAGCATTTGTTATTTCGCACAGAGTTCTTTTTAACTTTGGATAGTAATTTTATGTTGTTTGTCAGAGAATGGAGGTCTTACTTATTAATTAATTAATTAATTAAAACATTTCTTAACATTATTTAGTTCTGAAGGTATATCCCACCTTTTTTCCCTTCTACAAAGAACCCAAGGTGGCTTACATGGTCCACCTCCTCTCAATTTTATCCTCATGACAACCTTGCAATGTAGGATGGGTAGAGAGTCTGTGAATGCCCAAAGTCACCCAGTGAGCTTCATGACAGTGTGAAGCAGAACCTGGATCTCCCACACCCCCATTCTAACCTCTATGCTGGTTCTCACATTAAATGCATATGTTGATGTGAATATACTTGTATCCAGTCCATGGTTTCATTGTGCTGTATGTTGTATGCCTTTTATGCAAGCGAGATTTTGTGTGATATTACAGAAAGGAGGAAAATTTTCTCTGAAATGTTGGTCAAGCAAGGCACAGAATAATTAGGCACTGCTGTGACTTCATTTCCTTAGTTTTTTGACTGTACAGAACAATCAGCTTGGCCAATTCCCTGAATGAAGTGAATGTGCACCCTAAAACATATCCCAGTATCCTCTGGAACAAACTAGAATTCCATGGTAGATAAGGGGATGTGTGGAAAGAGTTCCCTGAAGACAGACTATTTAATGTGGGTTATTCTTCAAAGAGCAGAGCCATGTGTAAATGGCTATGTAGCAATTCCTTATGGCCACAACTCAAAATATTAGACTAGAGCAGGGGTTGGCAACCCGTGGCTCCGGAGCCACCTGTGGCTCTTGAACCCCTCTGCTGCGGCTCCCTCACTCGCCGGCACAGCCGCTGATCTGCTGGAAGCTCCACTCAGGAATGCAGGGCTTGCTAAAGTAAATCGCTACATTCCTCTGCTAAACAAGCTTCCTGCAGGCTCTCATGTTACATGAAACTGCTGAAAAGATTCTCTTTGTCCCAATGTAATCGCCTTCATCTGAATGTTAAAAGCTGCGCTTGGGACCTGCCAGAATTTACAGCACTTGACTGTTTATCTGCTAATCAGTCACTAAACACCCTCCCCTCTCTCCCGTAGGCCAACCATGGATAAATCGAAGAAAAGTTTCTGAAGAAAACCGAACGTTTAATGGTACGTGAGTAGATTCATTTGCTTTTACTCCTGACAAACTTATGGGGCTTGCTGTTTAATGCATACAGCCCTTTAGCACTGACTTTGTCTCTTCAGGAAGCTGTTCTCCTATTCACAATATATGAAAGGAGTCCTACTAGCTTATAATGTAAGATTAAAAATAACAGTTTTTAGTGACTGAACAAGAGCTGCAGCTAAATCATAATGAAGATATACATAGCATTAAGGTAAAAAATGATATATGTAGTGTTATCTTCATTTTAGATGTCAAAAGGGTTTTGAGGCTCCTGGTGTTTTCTTTTGTGTGGGAAACGGGTCCAAATGGCTCTTTGAGTGTTAAAGGTTGCCGACCCCTGGCCTAGAGGCTCAAACACTAAGAAATGCTCAGACCACATCTGAGTTAATCCTTTACAGCCTCCTTTCAGAGTAGGCCTCTTCAGCCAGTTAAAGCAATGCTGAGTCAACCAACCTAAAATTACAAAAAGCAAATCCCCGTCAACTAAGATTGCACTAAATATTAAATTTAATCAGTCAGAAAACACTAACATTTACTAATTCCAAAAGGTGTAGGTGGCAAGTTATCAGTATTGACATCTTCATGAAAGTTGGGCTTTCTTTTTAATTTAAAAATTGAGCAACATGTTTCTACATCAAGCTATGGGCAAGAACAAAAGAGGTTTTTCCTTTTTTTGAAGAAAATGACACTTTAAGTCTTAAATGCACTCACTCTCTCAATAACAAACTTGCTCTATATTTAAAATTTAATTCTTCATCAACATCTACATGTACAAGAAACAAATGTACATGGTATCTCTATGGAGAATATGGGTATTTACACCCTGGTATTTAAATTCATTATATATTTATTGCTGTGAAGATTTGCTCAGCAGACTATTGTTGGAACTGCTCATAAATGGATTTTGACAAGATAACAAACTCAAGTGTTTTTGATTCCACCACACTAAAGGGAACACAAAACAGGAATGGTGTAGAAAATACATACCCAAATAGCAGAAGAGCTCAAATGCATAAATTGTCAAATATAGCCCTTTTAAGACAGATTTTAAAAATGTGCTATATTAGTGTCCCTAAACAAGGCTTTCCCACAGTTCATTACAAAAACAAAATGAAAAAAGATCCTTCATAGATAATGAATAGACATTCCAATTCTGCAAGTTAACATTTTAAAATACTTTCTTGCTACTGGTTATTTTAAAGCTCTTTGACAATGCCCGATGCTTTGCTTGCTGCCCTTTTCCATATGCGGTATGGTTCAGGGAGCCACTCAAAGGCTGGTAAGACTTCCATCATCCAAATTTCTATTATCCACTCCTCTTACTTGCAACAATGAACAGTGCAATCCTATGCATGCCTACTAAGAAATGAGAACCATTGAGTTCAATGGGACTTACTTCCAGGTAAAGGTGGACAAGATTGCAACCTTAAGAATGGAATTCTATGCTAGTTTAGCACAGCTGACTGAGGCATGGTGGGATTGTAAGCCCTTTTCCAGTCTAAAATTGCACTACATTGTGCCTGGAAAAAAACTCAGTATTCCTTCACCACATCGATGCAATTATGTAAATACATGCCACCACCCCCAACTCATTCCAGTGGTAGACGTATTGGATTTTTTAAAAATTATTTTGAACAAATGAGGTTGCATTGTAATTTCTTTTGCCTTTAAGGAAGATTCAACCTGAACAACGTTCTGTTTCATCAACAGTTCACATCTTGCCTCCTGAACTATTGCAATGATACTTTATAGAGGATTTTAGTATGGCCATGGAGAGAAATCCAGATAATGAATGTACCAATAGGTGTCACCAATAGGTTGGCAGCAGTCAGTGTCAATGCATGAAAAAGTCTATTCTAAAATGTTTAAATGAAGATGCCAACAATACAGCATCCACTGTCAGAAAAAAAAGACATGACCCTAAAGCAGGGATGGTTAACTGCAGGAGGTCCCGGTGCCAGTTTTGCCACCTGGGCTAGTGTATTGACTGCATGTCTTTGCAAGTGCTAAAAATGACATTTGAAACAGCCACAGAACACCAAAAGGGTCAAAAAGCCACATTAATTCGGAACAAGAGCAGCAGAATGGTTCCCTTAAGACCTGAAAAATCCCTGTATGGACAACACTTTTCAAAGGAAATTGCATTGCTCAAGGCAATGGTTTTCAAACACTATTGTGAGCAATCCTGGGTTTGTCAAAAGCTTATTAGGGCATATTTCATCAGGAAACCAAGAATGGTGATGAGCTTCTCTGACGTTCTGCTTGTTTTCTGCTACCCTGCATTGGACAAGTACTTAAGTATGTCTTCAGTTCAGGCAGACTGACCAAAAGGCCAAACAGGTAAACAAGTGCCTTGTACCTAGCACAACCTCCCTAGCTGGTGGGCAGAAAATAGATCTCCAGATATTGTGGACTTCAATTCCCAGAGTTCTTGAGCATTGGCTCTGCTGGCAAGAGCTTCTAAGAGCAAGGTCCAAAACTGCAGGAGGTCTACCTTCTGCCTGATCTCGATCTACGGATTGTGCACAGTGAGTTGCATAGAAGACACTGCATTGGAAATGTTGGATGAAAAAACAGATGAACCCAAGTACTGGGTATTCAAGAGCTGAATATCCAAGTTAAATGTTGGAATTCACTACCAGAAGAGATAGTGATAGCCACCAACTTGGGTGGCTGTAAGTGGGGATTAGACAAATGAAAGGAGGCTTACTATTTTATTCTACCTTTCTGCTTAAAAAAAGTTCTCATGGGAGTTTAAATAATAAAATTTAGGTTAAAAAACCCTAATAATTAAAATATAGAATTCTGGTCAAGTTTGCTATATATAATTTCTGGGATCAGCAGCAGTAGCAGCTGATGGAGAACTTGACAAGGGGCTTCTATTGTCTGTGTCTTGCCTGTGGACTTCTCCCAAGCGTCTGACTGACTACTGTGGGAACAAAATGCTGGACTAGATGGACCCATGATCTAACCCACCAGTCTTCTCAAGTTTTATGTGGCCTTGGAAAGCCAGGGCCAACCTGAGTCTAATTCTGATCGAGACAGACAAGTAGCCAGATCCAGCACATGGCATTTTTCTATGTTTCTTAGTAGGCGAGTCAATGAGAAAATTATTTCCCAAAGGTAGGAAAGTTTAGCTACCACTGCCCTAAGATTGCTTCAGAAGAAGGTAGTGTTTCCACCATTTTATCTCAGCAGTCACATATGCATTTTCCACTGAAGGGGAGACCATGCTGCCCCCAGGAGGTGAACACTAGAAATGCACATGAACATTGCCAAACAAGTAGGATAACAAAGGATGCTGTCACTTTTCAGAAAGTGACACTTTTTACAACAAACTTCTAAGTATCCTCCACATATGGCTAAATGCCCAAGAACAGGATTTAGATAAAATTTGGCATCCCTAACCCTAGCTAAGTCAAAGTGTTTGCATTTATGTCCAAACAGACCTGTGACATTTATTTGATCTCCCTGGCAGCATTTTTTTGCTGTTGAAGAACTTGCAACTGCATTATGCAAAGACGTTACTGAAACTCTTAGAGCAACTTAGCAGGTTTCATAGCATATGGTTCTGTAGCTAAGTTTGCCAGGGCCCTCAAGAGGTAAAGAGACCGTAAATGGTTGCTCAGCCTGGCAAAACAAGCATCAGTTAATTTTTGCTTAAATTACATTATTATGGCGAGACCCAAAGGGCAAGCAATCCCATGCCTGGACGGACATCATCTGCAAGCACTTCATACCAGGCCAAAATTATATCAGCATGTTCATTGCCCATCCAAGCTAGCCAGCCAGAAGCCTCATATGTGATGTGCACATTTTCTATAGCAGGGAACTATATTTATTTCACCCACATGCAAATCGTGGCCTTACAACAGTGATGGGGCATCACACCCGCTGTCCTGCTCTTATGCATGTTTATTTGGTTATAAATCCTACTGGATTCCTTCTAAGTAAGTACACATAAGACTGCAGACTTATAGCATGATCCGAAGCCTATTTACTCAAAAGTCAGTCTGAGCCCAGCAGGATTTATGCCTTACTGTAGTGGTGCAGAACCTCTCTCAACCTGAGGGCCAAACACTCTCCAATGGGGTGGAGAACTGACGGTGCAAAGGGTCGGGGCCAAAAAATCCAGCATACTGAAGTTTCATGCTCTTACTGCTGGTAACTTGGCCTTAAAGGGAAGAATTTCACCATTTTAGAATTGGGGAGAGGCTGCCTTAAAAACAGGAAATCTCCAAATGACTGGCAATTGGGAGAAAAGGGGTTGGGAGAGAGGAAGGGGACATAGTCTTTTGGGGAACCCTGGAAGGAGATATTTGGCCCCTGGCTTGAGATGAGGGCAGGGGGCAGAGTGTCCTTTGGATTGCCATCCTAATATCCCTGAGAATTTGTCATCCAAACCACCCTTTCTAGCCACAGCAGGCACAACCCCAACTCTGACTGGATGGCTTTGCTATGGCTCATGATTATGTCATTCACTCCTAATAGAAAGGTCATCTGGTCCAAACCATCTGGGTTTGTCTGCTCCATCACTTGCAAGCAGTTTAATTTTACTTTTCACATTAAAAAAAAGTCAAACACCTTTGAAATAATCTAGTTTAGCATGCAACATGCAATTATAGTTTGAAATGACAATGTCTACATAATGCATAATTTATAAAGTCTGTTGTGACTTCCTGAATATTAAACCTAAGGCTGGGATCCTAAGTACGTGTACATGAAGTAAGTTCTATTGAAATCAACTGCACTTATTTCTAAGTAAATATATGAAGGATCAGGGTAAAGGTTTGTAGTCGGCATCTCTCCTCCTACCAAAATTTCTGAAGACACCACAAATGCGACATAGACCACCTATGAGATCCAAATTAGTCTACCTCTTGGGTTACTTAGAGACCAAAATCACTGTATTAAACAAGTTCTACTATGTTTTCTTTTCTGCTACCGCTTTCACTTACTTACACATAGATTTATGATCGACTTCAGAGCTTTGAAAAAGGTGCACTGCCAACTTCTTCATACCCTAATTGAACCACTTTCTTGGTTTTTAGAAAAAGTGTGAAGACATGTCTTTTAAATGTAAAATACATGACAATCCTGGGGCTGCTGGGGAGCATCTAGACAGCCATAGGATTTTTCAGAGAGCTATCTACAAGGTTGGAAAATCACACTGTAGTGTTTTTGTGCTTGGAGTCTCCACCATCCAAGCACAGAAAGAATTGTCAGCTGTACCTCCCAAGTTACAAGAGAGATCTCTGAGGCAAGAATCGGGAGGTGTTTCAGGAGCGGAGAAGGCAGACACTCCAAAATATGAGATATTTTGGTAGTGTCCCAGCCTCTTTCCCTCCCCATCTGAAGGACCACACTTAGCCTTCACCTCCGCACTCCTTCCATAGGATGCCAGTAATCCTTTGAGTTCTTATGACTGTGTTGAGCTGATAGTGTTTTAACTTGCTTTTCACTGCCTTGATGGACAATGCTAATGAATAATACTTATCATAATTATTCATATTTGATAGGAAATATTCTGTGGGTCCTGTTGTATTGCATGGTAGTACAACTTCAGTTGCTGTCAATGGGTCTACTCTAAGTAGGACTGCCATTGCATACAGTCCATATACATCCTGGGAAAATCTCAGTTTAATGTCAATAGAAAGAAAAGTTGCAAATATTTTTTATCAACCAAGAACTAAAACCAGTTTTGATTGGGCATATTTTGGCTGACCATAAACTCAGATATCTCCTTGGGTTGCATTCACTGTTAGTTTCTTAAATGCCATTCATTTTAATTAGTCTATTCTAAGTAGAACTAAGATTGAATAGAAGCTATTGTCAGTCCTAGTTTTAAAGGAAGATCTCTCTCAAAAAAGGATGGATGGTATCAGGCAGGCCCCAATTCACCCAGCAATTCTCTTTGACATAGCCACTGCTTCTTCTACATACCTTTCTTGGAAGTTGTTATTCCTCAGGATGATGGATTTGAGCCTGGCATGCTAATTGCTAACTGCCAACAAATGACCTGATTCACTAAGCCATGACTTCATTAACTGATGTGAGTTTCATGGTGCATTCTGACACTCTTGAATGACTTGCCATGTTGTGCAAACAGGTTGTGTGGTTATGTGAGGATTAAACAATGTGGATTGTTCTATAGTTGTGTGTAGGTTGTTTAACCCTCCCATGACCTATGCCATCTGAATTTGCACAAAATTACAAGCCACAAAGAGCATGGGCCACCGTTTGCACATTCAAACTAGTGGCCAGCACAAACGGTCAAGCCGCACAGGTTAATTAACCTATGGTGTCTTAGCATTACATGCAAACTGGTCCACCCTCTTGGCATGAATTAACAGTGGCTAAGAAACACAGGCCCGTCTCCGATATCATGGTCTTTCCATTATATAGCTGGCAGAAAAGGGCATGCCTCACTCCACATTCCCTGATTCAGAGTAACCACAGCTTACCCTGAATGCACACACTAGGCAAAGTATGGTTCCCACAAGCCATAATTTGTCTGTAAACCATGGTCTGAATTAGGTTTCCAACTGTGAGTGGGTATCAAACTATGGTTCTGGTAATCAAAACCCTGGCTCTGGAAACTGCTCTCTAGAGAGGTGTGCCTGGCACTGATGCGTTATTCATTTTGGCACCAGGCCAAACCCTTTTTATTTTCCCTGCATTTTAAGGATTAATTGTGGTTTTTATTGTAGGCTTTATTAGATATTTATATTCTGTTTTTGTGCGCTGCCACTGTACTGTATTGCTTCACCATCCTGAGACTTTTGCATAGGACGGGATAGAAATGCCCCAAATAAATAAATAAAATAATAAATAAATTAAAAGCTTTTATGGCAAACTGTAGTCACTGCACAAAGCAGGAAAATAAGGGTGCATGAGAAAAGGAGGAAAGGAGGAGGGGGGAACTTGAACTCCAAACCCATTGACAAGGACTAAACAACAGTTTAGCCGCACCATCTGATTTGGGCCACAATATCTGTCAACACAGAAGGGATTACTGGCCTTTAGAAGCTTTTATTTCTGGGTTCAGAGGCATGATTGTATAGTAAAAAGGCATACAAATGTGATAAATTATTTTCTCTCTTTTTTTAAGTGACAGTGGAAGATGGCAACGTTCCTTTCCAGTGACCTTTTTTTAAAAGATGTGAAAAAACCAAGGGAAGTATGGAAAAAGCACCACTGCTCAAAAGATTATCTCTCTCCTGCTTCTTTCTCACACAAACACACTCAACATCCCCCCTCCCACCAACGAAAGGAGATCTATAGCTCATAACATATAAAGCTTTGGAGTTCAAATGATGTGAACATTCTGAACAAAAAGCCCAATTTAAATTTTTGCATTGCTGCAAACACAATTTCACTTCACTGCCTTTTTGCTCTTGGACTGAAATCATAGAAGGGACAGACTGCACCATTCGTGGCAAACCAAATCTGAACACTTCTGATTCACTGTGTATAGTATACAGTCCTGTTCTGTGCATGTTTACTCAGAAGTCGGTCCCACTGTACTAAATGGTCCTTACCTCACAGGTAGGTATACATAAGACTGTGATCTCAATAAAATGGCCTGGGTTAAACTGGCTGTCAGGGACTGAAAACACAAGGGGATAATCAAACATCTATCAAGCCACCAGCCCAGCTGGTAGGTTTCCATTTGAAAGGACTTAAGTTGTGCCAGTTTGTACTAGAGGAAAAAAGGAGGGATGGAAATTTTTCATCCCCAGACTGATCTTCTGCACTAAGTAATGTTCAATGAAAAACAAAGAACATACTGACTTCCAAAACACACATACACATATAAACAGCATTTTTCAAGGAACAGTTTATACCCCACACAACAGGACAGCTTTTTACAAACCTCTACAGAAAACAAAGCGAGTTAATAATTGGGAACAAAGCTAAGGCACTAGAACTGCAGCAGGTGAAGAAAAATAATGAACAAACCTTACATATCTTGAGTTGAGAAGTTAACTTGCTCCAAGCTATGAAGTCTTTGGAAGAGTCCTGGTACTACCAACTGCTAAAATAAATTATTATGTCAGAGGGAGGTGGGGAAAGGTAGAGGGAAGAAAAACTGGGTCACACCCTGGGTTTTGCTTATATTAATTAAAAAATGGTTGCACTGCTGTCCCAGAGGAATTTGCAGAAATAGTTTCTAAAGCATCTCCCCCCAAAAAATACACACGGAGTTGATGTGACAGCTTTGGTTCATCTTGGACTTTTCCTTTGAAACTTAACTCTCCTTAGGGAATTCCCAGATGGATGCCAGACCTTCATCCCTGGTTTGGGTCTGACGAGCAGAGGAAGTGATGGACTCAAGGTTCTTCTTTGTCCCTAGAACCAACAGGCAACAGTTCTCCAATGTGTGCTGTGTGGAGGCTTCATCCCTCTTCTTTAATCATCACAACTTAATAAATATTGATTGCTGGCTCTGCTTTTGCATGGTGTCATTAAGGGGAAAGACACTAGAGATGGCTACATCCACTATGCCTTGGCAAAGCTCTGCATATAATTTCCTAAAAATCAAAACCAGGAAGAGAGAAGTGAAAATTATAAATTTAGTTTTGAAAGCAAAGTGAAGAAAACTGATCGAATGTCAATTCAGAGTAATTACCACCCCGGTCTCCATCAACAAATGGATTTTACAAGAGACACGACCTTACCAATTCTGACAATGAAATTTATTACCACAAGTTGTATTATTTATTAACTTAAATTCTGTTATTATTTAACTTCCTTACCACCCAATAGCTGAAGCTCTTTGGGTGGCTTACAACAATCCATTAAAATACAATCTAAATTATACCACTTTATAAAAACACCAGGGGGAAAGTTGCCATACTATCATTATTTGGGCTGATGGCGATTGATCATTTATCAGTTATTAGCTGCCAAGTCCTGAGTCACACATAGATTCTGAATATGTCTTGAACTCCCATCAGCTACTGTCACCCTGACAAATAGTGAGAGGTGATAGAAGCTGTACTTCAGATAATTTGGAGGGCACTTTGTCGACGAACTCTGATCTGACTCTGAGCGTTCTTGAGGGAAGACAATTTCCAAAAGGGTAGCTGTGATAGTCTGTTGCTGCAACCATTCACACATTACAACAACCCACCATAGCAATAATCCACAGGCTTACTGTGGGTTGTTCAACCCCTCAGTTCTCCTACAGATATCCCAGGGGATGCCACAGAAGGACCAAGCTGTCCCCCCTCTCCTGCCATGACAGTAATCCCTTTTGTGCTCACCATGTTTTCCTCCTCTTTCCCTTTTTGGAGTTTGTGAAAAGGGATCTCCAAGCTGATAGCTAATGACAGTTCCTTCAAACTGCCCAAGGGGCAACCTGGACAAGCTGTCCGCCTGACTGTACTTCTCCCCCTGCTTCCAAGAGGACCAAGACAGAAGCTGTTTATAGCTTTCTTAAGTTACAGTTGAGGCTGGCTTTGTGACAGAAAAGAGCATTGCAGAAGTCAGTAACAAAAGAAAGAAGTCAAATCACAATACCGGCCTTCAGGGAAATGTAGCTGGATGACAAGAATGTTGATAATATTCCAAACTGAACACCTCCCCTCCCTCCCAAACAAAAAGGAGCCAACTCCACTTTCAAGGTGGACCCTGCTGTTTAAGATGTTCCAGGGCCCATCACCTAGAGCACCTGATGCTTTTCGATTGGTCCACCCTCTTAACTTGACACTGTAGGATCCAACTAATGAGGCTGGGTCTGCTCCTGCCACTTCAGTGTGCTCACAAGCCCTTCCCACAGAACTGGAATCTTTCTTTTTGTCAGCGACTGCCTGGCTTATCTCTGCATCTGGTCTTGGCAATTCAGCTGCAGATTCTGGGCTTTCCTCCTCTTCAGAATCCTATAAAACTTTTGAAGGCTCTATTACAGTAGAAGTGGGCCCAGTCCCAGCATTATCACTGGTTCATAAGCCTTTCTGTGGAGGCAGTAGGCAGGGAGAGAAATATAAAGTCGGGACTAACTCTGGCCAAGGATTCATCCTCACTGGCATAAGGCAAACACCAGTCATTTACTTAAGTTCACTATTCGACCTCATTGTGTTGTGGTGGAGCTGCTTTCCCCCCATCTTGGAGGATTTCAAATTGCTTGGAAGGCAACAGAAGGCAGTTTCAAGGGCTTCTTGGCAAAGTGCCACCTGGCAATCCCAGCCACTTTGCTGGTATGTTTACTTGCAGCTAAGCAGCAACCGTTGCAATGAGCCTCAGTTTTAGTCTCTTGCAATACCTCTGCTGTAGTGATGCTTTGGGACATTGTGAGAACTTAAAGCAGCAGGTAGGGACAGTCAGGTCAGAAAAAAAAGCTGTTAAGAGGAACTGCCACAAGCAAACAGCAACTGTGAGCCCCTGGAAGCTACCTAAGGCCCTGGGAAAGAGGAAAATATTGCTGCCTGTTGTTCCCAACCAAACCTCACCTCTTGGTGACAATTTCAATACTTCTGACAAAAACTGCAGGAGACATACCCACATACACACAGGAAAGTTTATTAACATGCAGTAAGACCAGGAATGCTTACTGGGCACATGCAGGGGCGCCGTTGACTTCAATTAGCCAGACCTTCAAGTCTTCATCCACCATGAAATCAAAGCCAAAGAGCTGGAAGCTCTGGTAATGAAGGTGTCTGGTGCTGATAGCAGGTTCTATACACATAAGGCAGCTTCTGTGAAAAAGAGGAAACACTTCGAAATGACCCACCAGGACTGTTTTGGCTTTCCAAATGACCTCTCAAAGATCTACATCAGCCTTCTCGACCCGGTGCCTTCCAGACGTGTGGCGCCATACCTCCCATTAGTCATTCTAGCTGGGCTTGGTGGGAGCCATGTTACAAGACATCTAGAAAACACCTGGTTGGGGAAGGCAGCTGTGGCATGTGGTTCTCTCCCCATGCCTGTTCTTGTGGGACGAAGCTCCCTGAAAACCTCCAACCTCTGAAATTGAGTTTTGTAAGTAACCACAAGCCTTCCTTTCATGGCAGCCCTTGGAGAACTTTTTGGTCATTCTCTTGTCCACCTCCTCTCAGGGAATCCTCATAAAAGCTACAGTCAGACTTCCTTCAGGGACCAGGGGTGGCTAAAAGACTGATATCTTGGACACTGGTTATCTCTTGGGTAAAGAGGAAGAGAATCGAGAGCTCTCTCCCAGGGCCAGAATGAAGAACCAAGTGATTAAAGTAAGCAGGATATACAGAATGAAAATTGGGTTTTTCATTATTTGTATTGTCTGTTTATGTTCTGTTTTGTATTAACACAGATTATTTGTTGCACTAATTTTGTTGGTAGGGTTAGGTTTGATTGGTAATTTGGTTGATTAAAATTTCCTTGGGAGGGGATATTTTCTTCCCCATGGTCTAACCACTCTGGGTCTACTCCCAAAGATACTAGATCTAAATGGTGCTTAGTGCATTGCTTTATAAAATTCCAATCCCAAACTTCATAAACAGAACCAGACTCTCACTGAACTGCAGGCTCTTGATGGAAAGAGTTGGAAGTATGACCATTTTTAGAGTGGAAGAATGCATCCATCTGCGCTATTATTAATTTCAGAGCTAATTTGAGCCCTTGAGTTTGAGTCAGAGATCTGAGTGCATTACTCATTTGCAATAATGATCTGAATGGTAAGCAGGACCCCATCAGACAGGGGTCCAGGTCGTGAGTCCACCATGCATTTACTGAGATATTTTTAGCATCTTACCCACACATTACACAGAAGTGCTCATTAACTGAATGTGGCCAGACAGTTTTTTCCAGGAAAGACCATTTTGCGAAGGGGCCATTTCAAGTGAGGGCAAGTGCAAAAGGGTGAACAAAGAGGAATGCTTACTCCTCAATCCAGCTGCCACCTCTCCATTTCATGTCTTCTCTTTGGATTAAAAAATGGGAGGTGGGGAGGGCAGCTGCAGTTTGGTTACATGGTTTTGCATAGAATAGTTAGTCAGGTCCTTAGCTTTTCTTTTTCAAGATAACGGACGAGGATAATATTTTGGCTCTAAAGTGTGCTGTGATCCGGTGCTACCTTCAGCTGGAGGAGCTTCTGGAGAACACCAAACTCTTCTGCCCACAATGATTCCCCACCAACAGATGGGCCTTCTCTGTCCATGCACATCCAGAGGTGCTCTCTCCAAAGAAGTCAGAGGGAGAACAAGGGCCACATGCCTACAACCTTGGGCTCAGACTGCGCACATACAATGGCTCCAGCAATGGCTTTGGCCACTGTGGTGTAATGGTAACAGTCTTCCAAGTAGAACCAGGGGGAACTGGTGGAACTGTTTCAGCCTCTTTTTGCCATGACAGCTCAATGGATACCCTTTGGCATCCATTCTCTCTCCATCTAGGCTACCTAAAAGGGTTGGTACAACCAGAATACAATGGAAGCTGCCTTGAGTTTTTTGGAAGAAGCAGAGAAAGCAAAATAAGCAGAATCTTCATGGTACTGTTGCAACAAATAAAAACCCATTACCTTATTATATTTTTGACTTGTAATAAGATTGTATTTTCCAGAGTAATGCTCAAAGCACTCATCAGATACTGATTAAACTCCTCAAAAAACATCTCGTTCCCTTCTTCGTATCTCCCATAGTTTTTAGAATATTCCTTCTGTATGCAGTGATTGGTCAAGTGGCAGGTTTTGTCTAGAAAATTAGCGCTATTGTAAGGTTCTGAAGAGGTCCGTAGAACGCCTTCTCTGTAGAGGTAGATATTATACTGGTGATCCACTAATACCCAGCTTCTAAAAGTTAAAAGAAAATATAGAATGTGGGCTGTTGTTGTTTTTTAAAACCGTATCTCAACATTTTAATTCAGAAGAATAAGATTTCATCACTATTTTTTCACCTTTGATGCAAGCTTTAAAAATCAATGTAAAAAACCTTGGTTACCTAATATCAAATTTGCGATGACCTGGTTCTAAGAGCATAGGCTTCTCAAGGTATTTCTGTATCACATGCACTTGTCCTTGATTATCTATAAAGTCCAGAAGTTCAGTAGCTTCTGAAGAAATAAGAATCCCTTCACCTAACCAGGAAAACAAAAAGATGAAAAGTCAAAATGCTGGAGAGGGAGACTGCTGCCACCAAACAACTATAACAGACAAACGTATTTTTTAAATTATATTTATACTGTGCCCATCATAAAAATCCCAGGGAAAGTAAAGACAACAATAAAGCAATAAAGGACTACACTTCTGGTACTACTACTAATAATCAGCAGAAAGGAACAAATGCATAACAAAGGTCCATTCATTTTCCCATATGACCACTCATAAAGACCCGCCTAGAAAGACAGGCCTTAGCCTGGTACTAAAATGTGAGTAAAGCTGGCATTAGGCAGGGGAGCATTCCAGAACTGGAACACCACCACAGAAAAGCCCTACCTTTTGGTACAACCTGAAATACATTGCAATGGTGGATGCTAAACTGAGACTGTCATACTTCAGACTCATCAAAAGAAAGCAAGACTCACTGGAGAAGACAAGCATGTGAGGAAAATCTGAAGACAAGACAAGGGGGAAGATCAACCATGAGATGGTTTAACTCCATAAAGGAAGCCATAGCCTTTGGAAGAGCAGAATGCAGCTGTCATGGACAGGCCATTTTGGAGGGCTTTCATCCATGGTCACCACAGGTCAAAGACCACTTGATGGTACATAACAACAGCAGTGGTGGGACAGCAAGATAGGCCTATGCCTCACTGAGGGGATGGGGAGGCTGATACATGGAGAGGCATTCCTTTAGATACTTTTACATCCCTCCTCAGCAGTAGACCCTGGAATCAAATTCCATCTGGGATTTGTCAAGCTGCTTCTTTCCTGGTCTTCATGAAAGCTCTAAAGACCAACCCGTTTTCCCTGGTTCATTGGTCTTTATTGGAATGCTTATGGATTTTTTAGATTTTTAAATGATTTTAATTGGCAATTCATTTGTATGGTTTTGAAACATATTTTTAGGGATCTTTTAATTGTACCTACCATGTTTAGTTTATATCTTGCATACCACCTTGCAAATGTTCCACTCTTAAAGGCAGTGATAAAATAAGTTGTAGATAGATAAATCCCTCAGTAGCAACCTGTTGAGAGCTGAAGTTCCTCCTTTGCACATTCAAGCCACTAACCTCTTCCTTGCAAAGCATTATTTATTGACCAAAAGCACAAAGACTCAGAATGAATCTCTGAGCAGGGAGAATGGCTGGCTGAACCCAGGCGACTCACCTCCGGGAACTCTTCTTGTGAACATGCCTGGGCCCCATCCCTTTAGGAGGGGCCTTCTAAAAATGAGCACACCTCCTCTCCTCATGCCAGTCCTCTAACTGAGCCACCCTCCTCTGCTGCTGATGCATCATGGGGTCAAGAGCTGGGGCCACCTCATCTATTTCTGAGAAACTCCCATGCTCCAAGTCCCCTCCCGCCAGCTGTACTTCTTGGTTACTCCCAGCGACTGCTTGCCCTCCTGAGGAGTCTGGCCTTGAGATGAGCATCTCTGCTTCTCCCATCTCAGTGTCCGAGGTGGCCCACTTTCCCAGGATCCCCGCTCCTCCTGATTCTTCTGAAGACCAGCCAGCAGCCCTTGAGAATGTGCTCCCAAAGCAGCCATCTTTCTCACTCCCAACACATCCAGCTTCTGCTGCAGCATCCTTCAATTTCCCAGAATAAGAGGATCATGGGCCAAGACAGCCAACTGGAATGACCCATAGTTCTTTCCTCCACCCATCAGCCCCAGCAATACAGGGAGCAAGCAACTTCTCCAGAAGGAACCGAGTGCATGAGAGGAGAGGCTGAGCAAGGACGTACCTTCTTAGCCATCTCTCTCCTCTCACTGGCCACCCTGACCACATGGCATTAGGAAATGGGGAGAGTTACATGTGGAACAAGGGAAGATAATAGGTTCATGGAAGGGCCTCCTTGTCTGCTTTAAATGACCAGCAAGGTCATTTAAAGTTACTTACTCCATGTGAACGTTAAAGGAAGTGGGACCGCTCCTGCCAACCCTGCCCCAGCATTCCAGACCTTGCTGGCTGCTGCTCTCTCTCTGCACATTCAACGTAACGTGTGTTTTGACTGCCTACATGCAAACAAGTGTGCACACACAGTCTCCTCTTTCAAAAGCCACAGACAAGGTCAGTGGGGCAAGTGACATTGGGGGCAGGGGCAATCCCATTCCTTCCTTCCCACACACTGGATGCATGCCAGAACAGGACCAATATCTAGTCAAAGTGCAGCAGTTACTGATTACGAGTTTACAATGAGCTGTAATGGGGAGGGCCTCTAACTGAGTGGCAGGACACCCACTCTGCATGCAGGATGTAGGGACTAGATTTGCTTCTCCTAAAATATGACTTTCCAAGATGATTACGTAAGAATGTGAATCCTTGGAAGAAGAGGTGGAGCTGGAATGCTTCACTGAAAAGCCAAGGCCAGCTGACCCAGCAATAAGCCAAGAGGCCAGTGAGAACCAGACCACATCTGGTTTGGGGGGAAACTCCACTGAACAGGTGGAGACAAATGGGAGTAGGTTAAATATGATCAATGCCATAATCCAGCCTCAGATCAAAAGGGCAGACTGATTAAGTAGTGCCTGGCATTCCCATCATCTGGGCCACATGCAGCAGGAACCACCCTGAGGGTGGAGCTAACTCTGGTTGGTTGGGAAGGAAGAGAAGGATTCAGCCTGGCAGCAACTTCTTGGCATCAAGTCATTATGTTCCCAATAACTGGTATTCCAACTTGGCTGGTGTCTTGTTAATGACTTGTTCAATACTTCTTTTTTGCATCACAAGTCAGCCCAGTTGACCAGTTTAACATAAAAAGACCTCAGTCAGAAGCCTTTTCCCCTGATCTGTCAGGGTGGAAGAGGGTTGCTGGGAAGACCTGCCTCTGACCCAGAAGGTCTAAGGTTTGATCTCCAGGTAATGGCTGGAGAAACTCTTGCCTGGAACCACTGTGGGCCACTGTCAATAATGCAGGGATAAATGTTCCTCACAGTGGCCTGACTCAGTGTAGGGCAGCTTTCTGTGTTCCCAAGAGGCACAGTCTTCCACACGTCAAGGTCTAGCAACAGGCCTTTGTGCTGAAATGGTCTTCCTCACTCTCAGAAGTAACTAGACTCAGCATTTATAAAGCTTGTGCTGTGCATCCAAAGTGTTTCACGTACAATATCCCAGAAATCCTTACAGCAAACCAAACCTGTAAGACAGCTCAGCACTATTATCCCCACACTGCTGAAAACTGAGGCTGAGAGACAGTGCCTTGACCAAGGCGAACTACTGAGTCTGTGGCAGAGAAGAAATTTAAATTGGGGACCTTGTGAGTCACAGCTCTGGCTTTCAGACATCACAAGAGCCTAGCATCTGTAGCAGGGACAGGTGCTCTGGAGCCTTCCCAACGTTTTTGACCACAGCTCCCAAAAGCCCCAGCCAGCATGGCCCAATGGAGGCTGTAGTCCAAATATCTGGAGATCACCAGGTTGCCTATCCTTAAACCATAGGACAAATGAAAGCAAATCCATTTCAGAATCCTTGCCAGATGCTAACCTTTGGCACCTGCTGAAGATTTGGCTATCCACACATTCCCTTCTCTGTTCTCTTTCCTCTTCTGGTAAGATGCCAGGAAAACCTCCCTTTCATCTGTTCTTGTGTTGTTTATCAGATGATGAATTCCATTTTGTGCTGGAGCTACTGGAGTCTTCAAATTCGTTGGGTAAATCACATATGATTCTGGGAACCATGTGCAGGACTCTGCCAATTCAGGACTCGTCTTGATTAATCTAAAAAGAAAGGAGGGGCAAGGTAAGGAGAAATTCCACTTGTTCTTGTTAACTCTAAGCTGCAGGGTTTCTACAAGGTACACGGCATTTAAGAAACATTAATATTGCCACCATCATGTTCTTCCACTGGAACATTTACAGGTTCTTGCCACACAAGTCTGGACTATCACACTGCATCAGCTCAGGGAGACAAGGGCTGTTGCCATGTGAAAACAGGGCATCACACTGAATGTGCTTCCAGATTTTACAGCCAGAGGGCGCCCCCCACTGAAAAGGAGAGGCAGGCAGAAACTAAGGAGAGGGCCTTTGCTACAGTAGCCCCTGCCTGTGTAGCACACTCCCAAGAGGCTTGCCTGGCACCTACTTTGTGCTCTTTTGCACCAGATAAAGACCTTTCAGGTTTTTAAACGTTTTTAGTTCTTTGCACTGTTGCTGGCTTTACCTTTGTTGGCTTTTTATTTACTTTGGTTAGATTCAGTTTTAAATTTAAGGGTTTTCTATATTGTTGCATTTAATGATTTTAAGTTTTGCTTTGTGAATTGGCCAGAGAGCCTGGACTACTGGGCAGTACAGAAATGCAATAAATGAAGACATGCATAACATTTGGCACGATCCCTGTAGCAAAAACAACATGCTCCTTGGCCCTTGAAAAATCTTGGCCTTATGGTAACTTACTAAAAGAGCAACTGTTGTCTGTGCAGAGGGTCTCAGCATCAGTATTCCAGCTCCCGATACCTCTAATATTGGTGCTTCTTGGTCCGATCGCGTGTTCTGCTGAACCCCGGTAAGGCCTAATTTTGCACTGCCTATTTACTGGAATGATAAAGTGCTTTGTCCCTTTGCCTATCTGCTGACTTTGCTGGACGGATTTGTCCTATAGTCGGCCCAGAGCTAAGCCTGACCCAAGCACAATGGGGCACTCACAGGCATATTACGCAGCTTCATTGCAAGTTGGCCCATTGGTCTTTCTAGTCTGCCTAACCTGCCAGAAGCTCTCCTAGGGCTCAGTTTCCTGGCCCTGCTATCCGGGATGCTTTTACTACAGAAATCAGTAGTTTCTAAGAACCTGAGACTCTCTGCATGTGGAACATGTGCTCCATCACAAATGGCCCTTGCCACCTTTCAAATACTTCACTGCATCTGCTGATATGCACAGAATTTAGCCTGGCTGTGGTCTTTGGGGAAGCATGGCAACCCAACATTGCTGTTTGCATGCTTCTAAAAAGCTATTTTGCATTTCCTAAGAGCACAAGGAAAGCCCTGCTGGATCAGGCCAAAGCCCTGCTGGATCCTCCAATACATGTCCTGTTTCCTTCCAGTGGCCAACCAGATCCCTATAGGAAGCCCATGAGCAAGACACAAGGGCCAAAGTATGCTGTCTCTGACCCTGGAGGTAGCAGATCATCCTCGTGACAAATAATCAACAGCTTTACCCTCCACAATTTGATCTGATGCCCCTTTAAATCCCTCCAAGTTGGTCATCATGACATCTGTGAATTTCATGCACAGGCATTCTAAGAAGAGGCGATTCCTTTTATCTGTCTCAAATCTCTCACCATTCAGTTTCATGGGATGACTCCAGATTCTAGGATTATGAGAGGACAAAAAACATATTGCTGTCAACTTTCTCTGTACCAGGAAGGAGCTGCCAAAATTTAAACCCTCTCTGTAAAGACCACTGTAGGTCTTCCAAACCATGACAGGCTCATCTTTTAGTATTTTATTGGGGTGATTTTGCTCCAAGTGAAGGAGTACTATAACCCACCAGATGTTTTGATAGTTCTAGGATGAAACAAGTATTGTTTTAATATACTTTTCATTTCTGTCATTATTCAGTTTGATTTCTAGCATTAATCGGAAACTGTATACAAATTTTGCCAAGTTCACAAAGAGAACTTCAGTGCAACTATGTCAGAATCATCAAGGCATTTATTTTAGACTTCACAGGGAAAGGTCAGGGATTTTAGAAATGCTAGCTTGGAATTAATGACTCACATAGCTTCAGGCCTTTTCTCTATATGAAAATAAATACCGTATCAAGTGCTTACATAATGCAGCTATATATTATCCATTAAAACAAGCCCTGAAGCATTCCCTCTCAGAGTAGAAGAGTCAAACGGTTTATGGAAATAGAGCAAAGTTCTGGAAGGAGATCTCGAAAGGAATGCCTCCAGTCATATTATTATTTTATTTATGTTAAAAAGTGTGCTCATTATTTCATATCCTTGAAAGAAGAAGCTTGCACTCTAGGGAAATTATCTGTTTTGCAACTATAGGGAAGGATAGAGTAGAAACAGCAAATTACAGGGACTTCACTCATCTGAGAGCTGTGATTGGAAACTAGTGTTCAGATTTTACTAACAATGAAGGCAATGCACTTTTAAGTAGGAAGGCAGCTACAAGGATCTGAAATACCTAATACTAAGGCCCAGGAGCAGCTTTGAGAAGGAAGACAGGAGTGGTGACAAGCTCTGAAAAAGGGACTACTGGACAATCCACTGTAGAGTCGATTCCCACATTCATATTCCTATTTTGAGCACTCCAGCATCAAACATCCATCGAGCTGATGCATCATTTCACAATTCTTAAAATGTTAGCAAGGCTGTTTTTAGCTGCAATGCATTCCAGTATTTAAAATAAATAACTAGACATCTGTAACATGTTCTCATACTGCCACTCATCCCGACTGTTGAATATTCATTTATATAAGTTAATATATTAAAATACCTAATTGGTTATCATGATCTACCATGGATTAATGTGATGTGAATGAGCCCATCCTCCCCCTGAAGTCATACACTTCCCCCTCTTCGTCTTTTCTTCCAACTTTAATTAACCATGGCTGGTAGTGTGATCCAAGTCCAATAAACTGCAATTAATTTAACTATGGTTTGTTTGAAACAAACCAACTTCAAATCATGGGTTATGAAGTTTGCTTGATTTAAATAAACCACAGTTAAGGTTAACTACAATTTGAATACAGGCAACATCCTGAACTTTAGTGAATCTCTCTCTCACACACACAACATTTTACTTCCAGTCACAGTCCAGTGGCCCTGCTGGACAAGGAAGTGGGGGAACAAATGAGGCCAGAGGAAGCCACGGTCAAGGCTTGAATTTGCAAAAATCACCCAGCACACACTGCTAAGCTCCAAGAATTAAATAACCTGCAGCAGTTTGGTGTAAATGCAATCTGGCCAAGAATTGTAAGAAAATAAAAGATAAGGATGTAGATGATGCAGACAAATGGCAAAAGGAGGTCTGTATGTCAACATTGATGGCTTATAATACCCTCACACCCACCCACTCACCCACCTACCCACACATCTTACTTCACTAAAGAAGCTTTGCGGCAAAGCTTATCGGCTCCTCTGTAGTAGTTCACCAGTTGTACAAGTCCAGGTTCATGACCTACAAAAGGGAAACACAAGAGATTTTATGTCCAGGCTCCTTAGATTTTAGAAGAATATGCATATCTGTGTAAGAGAAAAATATGTTTAAAATATTTACACCAACAATCAAAGCAATCCATCTATTTCTGGGATAGATGGCCTAACAGCAAAACAGGGGTGGGCACTTGGTAAGTCAGCCATGATTGGAAGGTCTTTAAGTGCTTTGCAGGAGATTGGCAAGGCCTTCCAAATCCATATTGTTTTAATTAAAATATTTCTTGGTTGCTTTTCAGGGCAGAAGCCTTCGTAAGGTGGCATACAATAAAACACCTAGTAAAAACTGATACGGTCATAACAAGCAAAGTCAAATAGCATGTTTCCAGGCCCCTGATCTGCAAGGAGGGGGCCTAATGGACTCCTGATTGCAACTTGTTCCAGAGGTGTGGGGCCACAGCAGAAAAGGCCCTATCTTGTCTGGTTACCTGCTTTAATAACTATCACAGGTGGGCAAAGGAGAAGCACTTTTCTTGCTGATCATATGGTATAGGCAGGTTGATATGGGTAAAAGAGATCCTTGAATAAGTCCTTCAATATTGTTATTGTTTCACAATAGCAACAATATCAAAATGATTCTCCCCAAATTACATTGATGGAATTTGGAATGATGGAATCCCCTAACTGGAATGCTCTCCCCAAGATTGGCCTGGTACCTTCTTTACATTCTTCTCAGTGCCAGGCAAAGATCTTCCTTAATTTTTTTTTTAAATTACTGCCATTTGACTTTTTGTTTTGTATTTCTGCCTGTATTTTATTGATATTCTATTTCTAATATGTTGTCATTGGTTTTTATTGCCTTTTTAAATGTGACTGTGAGCACAACTGGGTGGCATACGAATGTTTTAAATAAATAAAGAAGGGTAAATTAGAGAGGACAAGTGTAAGCAATGATGAATGTTTATGTCAGAGCACTCTGAATTCCTTTTGATTCTGGTACTTAAATTCCTATCTACCTGAAGTCTGCCCACCCCCTGTAGCATAAGGCAGGATCGAGGGCTGGGCTGTGATGCAATGCATAGCACATTATTTTCATTTTAAGAGTTTCGCTGCATAAACAACCCCCTTCCTTTGTGAACTGCCCAAAGAACTTTGGCTATGAGGCAGTACAGAAGCATAATAAAGAATACATCCATAAAATTATGTGATGCATCTGAAACATCAAACAGAAAATTATTCGTGAACGCAGCAGCCTCCCAGCTGACCTCGGGCAATCGTTGACTGGACTCCTCATGTGTAATGCATGCCACGTGCAACCTAGCAGTTTCACAAGGCATTGGTGGTGAGGTTCTTGAGCAGAATACATTTTAGGGAAGTTTATTCTTGAAAATTATAGATAAAATATTCCAAACATCTAGGTTCCATTATCAAAAATAAAGGCAAGGCATTGCTGCTGCTATTATTTTTATTTCCGTACTGCCCCACAGCCAAAGCATTTTTAATACTTAAAATGTATTAAGGCCATGTACAAAGGGGATTCAAAGGAGGGCTCAACTTCCTCATCACAGATGCTGGAGCAACAGCAAACAAAAAGGCTTTTTCTCAAGGGCAACAATGCAGCATTGACGGAACTGAAGAGTTGGTGCTTAAGCAAGGGACAAAAGCATGCCAGCTAACCCAGACTGTATTTATCCAAGTGTTTTTAATCACCACAAAGAGAGGCTGATAGGAACACGGGATTCCAGGGTTCTCTCCTTGGCTTTAGATCTGTGCTAGGCTAGAAATTAAAACAGGTTATTAAAACTGTTGAGAATGACTACACTTAGACAAGACCGAAAGAGCAAAAAGCTGCAGATGAAACAGCAAGTAATTTAGAGGCATCAAACCAGAAGCAGGATGTCAGGGAAATCTTCTTAAACTACACAGAAAGGGAATGTCCCTGGTACATGAAGTTCAACTTGGATGAACGAGAGAGAGGGCGATTAATATAATTAAGGGATATTCATCTACACAATCTCTGTTTGTTGAGAGCCAGCGAAGTGTAATGGTTGGAGTGCTGGACCGGGATGCTAATCTGTTCTAATTGCCACTTGACCATGAAGCTCACTGGGTGACCTCGAGCCAGTTGCCTTCCTCTCAGCCTAACCCACCTCTCAGGCTTCTTGTCCTGAGGATAACACAGAGAGGAGGAAGACCTTGTAGGCCATCCTGGGTCCCTTGCTAGAGGAAGAAAGGTGGGATATAAATGAAACGAAACAATAAAGCCCACTCCTCACCACCGGCTCTGCTGGCCACAGTTGATGGAGCTGTAGGCCAAAGCACCTGGAGTAACCCACACCTGATGTATGTTGTTACACTACAAGGGTGTTACAAGGGTGTTGCACAAGGCTGACTGCACAAGTAATCCACTTAGGTTCTTGGGGCTGCAAAAACTGTAGGACCAAGAAAGCAGTATGTGACCTTAGAAGAGCACCCCAGCATCTTCTGCCCCACTGGAAGGGATTCTGCTGGGTGCAGCTCTTGGACCGCGGAACCCTCCATTGCTCTCCCTGCAGCACAATGTCCCTGCACCAGCTGGCCGGGAGATGAATTGTGGGGCCATACCAATCACACAAATCAGACAGACACATTTATTTACATTGCACATGCTTGTAATTTGCTGCCCAAATAAGGAGCAATGGGTGGTAACCTAAGTGGTCTCCTCCTCCGGCACCACCATTTCTCCTCCTCCTCCTCCATTCACATCCTCCACTTTTGGTGGCATTGGGTGTGTGAGGCGGCATTGGGTGTGTGTGAGGTGGCACTGGGTGTGTGTGAGGCAGCAGTGGGTGTGTGTGAGGCGGCATTGGGCATGCACAGCAGTGGCTCGCTCGCTTGGAGATCTCCCAGTGAGTCCAAAACCGTCTCCGAGCAAGTCACCACCTCCCTGCCTGTGCAGCCAGTGGCGCGAGCCGGATGGATGGCCACGGTGGGCCGGATCTGCCCCACGGGCCATAGTTGGAGGACCCATGCTCTAAACCCTTCCCTCCACCTTCAAAAGCAGATTAGATAAATTCATAGAGGAGAAGGCATGGCTGGTGGCTCATTACAATGGTGTTGGAGGCAGTACGCCTGGGAATATTTTTTATTTATTAAATCTTTTCTAATCCGTCCACTACAAACATCTCAGGAGGGCTTAGAATAAATGATGAATACCAGGAGATGGGCACCACTTGTAGACTTCCAGGTATCCGATTGGTCACTGTGGGAAACCCTGTGGCCTATGGGATTTCACCTCACAGGCCATGTTATGAGAACATAAGGGAAGCATGGCTGGCTCAGACTAGGGGTCAATAGCACTCACCATTCTTCTGTGCACATAGCAGCCCATCCGCTGACTGTGAGCGGCCCTCAAACAGGAGATGAGCACAATGCCACTCCCTCAGTGGCGCGCACCAGTACCTGCTATATGTAGACACAGCGCCTCTGCCACTGGGGGATCCTTGCTCTTTCAGTCTGCACAGGGCATTCTCCCTCTGAATTAGTCCATGTGAGTTATGAGGCCTCTGCCATGGCTGGTCTTTTCCCCTCCCTTCCCCTTCCAGACTAGGACAGAGGCCTTCTAACTGAAAGGCTTTATTATGTTGAAGCTGGCCAGCTGAGCAGGTTATGTAATACAAAAGAAGAATGCGGCAGAATACAATCGCAAAAACAAGCAATTTAGAATAGTGGCCATTGGAGAAATGTGGCTTAACGATGAGTTCCCAAACGGAATACCTTCCCTCTCTCTTAACCAAAAAGAGCCAGCTCCACAATCAAGGTGGATCCAGCTGATTAAGGGCCAGCTGCTGGGAGCATCTGACACTTCTGCCCTGCACTGGATTTCCAGACTAATGGTGTTGGGTCCAGTCCCCTCCTAGTTTAGCACGCTCACTAGACTTTCCCACAGAAACAGAAACTATCTGCTTCTCAGTGAATTGCCTGGCTTAGCTAGAGCACTGGCATGCCAGCTGTGGATTCTAGCACCTCTTCCAGCTCTAAATCAGAATCTGTATCTACAACCCTTGAAGGCCCAATACCAACCAGCCTGTGGAGCTAGTCCTGCATGTAGCCACTCACTCTCCCATGCGATCGAGGCAGCTAAGCCTTCCTTCCTGGCAAGAGCTTTCTGCACACCACTGTGAAGCACCACCACCTGTTAGGCACATGCAGACAAGTGGGCCAGTCTACTCATCACTCATCTGCGAGACCAGATTCCATGCATAAGCCTCAGCAGTATCAGCTAAGAAAGAAAACTAAGCATAACAAAATAAACTGAGCAAAACAAAATAAACTAAGCAAAACATCTTTCTATAATATGCAACTGCAGTTAAAGGGTAAATACATGGAGAAACAGCCATTAAACTTGTTATTACACAAATCAATTATCCATCGCTGGAGATACCTGATAGACTACATTGCTACACGTCCCAGAAAATGGAGGGAGTTCAGGTAAGGATGAAGATTAAACTGATTAAAACAACAGAGCAGGGTGCCCTCTGAATGTTACGGACTACAATTCCGAGTGCCCTATGGATGTTGTAGTATGTTTTTATTTAAATAAAAAATTTCAACCTAAAAAAAAATAAAAAAAATTTCAACCTATGGATGTTGTGGACTACAATTACCATAAGCCCCAGTCAGCATGGTCATTGATCAGAGACCACATGAGTTGTCCAAAGTATTTGCAATGGGAGCTGCAGCCCCCTGGTCCCTGAGAGAGTATCCCATAGTCCCTTCAATCCAAGGGAAGCTGATTTCTCTCTTTGAAGGTAGTGAGAGAGCACCATCCTCAGAGAGGGAGATCTGACTATGCTGCCCTCCTCTGGAAGGATGCAGAAAGGCCTGCAAATGGTCCTCCTATAGAGCTCGAACAACTGAGAGGCCTTCAAAGACAGGCCTACTTTTCTTAACATACCCTTGCCATTCACAGCAATGGAAAGAAGCTATGTTCAGAAATGATACTTTTTCATATTTATAGCATTTCAGAATTGCAATTTAAACATA